TGACCTTCTCCATAGGGAAATGGAGAGAATGAATTAATGGCTGCACAGTATTTTTAAGATATTAAATGCTGAATATTATTATATGTAATGACATGTTGGCAGGCAACTCTCTATGGACTACGCAACACAGAAAGGTCCCTAAATGTGTTTGCTGGGGTGACACGTGGTCAGATGGACCAATTACATGTGGAGAAACCAGAGGCATGCACTTTTAACCTGATTACCCATGAGAGTGACCTCCTTGTTAATAGTAACATCCCACAGTAGTCATTCCAATATGAAAACCAGGCAAACTTTCCACAAAAGTGGATGCTTATAGACCTATTGTCCTCATGTCCTGTCCAGGTAAAATTATGGAGAGAATGGTGAAAGAGAGATTATTTTCCAAACAGGCACCAATGGCATTATAGATAAGGTGCAGAGTGGTTTTAGGAGAGTAAGATGCTCCATTGATCACATGGCTAAATTAGAAATGGCAATACAATCAAAGGATAAGGCACAATGGTTTCATGATAGCGGTCTTTCTACATATTGAAAAGGCATATGACAAGCTATGGAGGGAAGGTTTATTGTACAAAGTGCACTAGGGATAGGGGGAAGAAGGTATGGGTTTATTAGAGACTTTTTGAATAAAAGAACCGTGCAGGTCAGAGTTGGGAAAGTATGTTGACTACATTTACTATTAAAAATGGTACACAACATGTTATTAGCTCAAAGTTATTTAATATTATGATAAACGATCTCCCAAAACAAGTGCCAGAGTAGAAGTCACTCTATTTGCAGATGACTGTGCTTTACAAAACAGAAAGTTACAAAGGAATGTAAACTATATCTATATGGAGAACAAATAGATATAGTTAAAAGGTTTAAATTCCTAGGGATAAGTTTTCTACTAAATTACTTTGGAAAGATCATATAGAGGAGTGGTTCTCAACCTATTTACCACTGTGGGCTGCATATGCAGCTTTATGTAGGCCACATCCACACCATATATATACTACCTGTATGGCCCTGAGGATGTCACATCGGCTGCAATTGTGTGCTGATTGGGCCACAAGCGGGCCATGGGTTGAGAACCATTGATATAGACCATGTTAAAGATAAATGTACAGGAAGGATTAATCTGCTTAAGAGTTTTGCTGGGACTAATTTGGGGGGGCAGATAAGAAAACACTGATGGTATCCAGAGCCTTAATCAGACTGGTTATTGACTATGGCTGCCAAACTTTTGGGTCAGCATGAAAATCAGAAGATAAAAAATTAGATTAAATACAAGCCCAGGCACTATGAATTGCTCACAGTGCATTTATTATAACACCTATATGCATGCTATAAATACACTATGAAATTCTGGGCCAAAGTTAATGGGAATTGTAATAGTGAAAGCACCAAACAAATGTATGAAGATTGTTAGGAATTCAATAGGTGAACTGTTAGAATGTGTTAGAACTCCACATGCCATTCGAGTTAAAGGGTGGCTGCATAAGAAAGCTGAAAGACAAGAACAAGCTAAATGACATCAACTTTTAGTAATGGGAAAATCAGTTATGGATGGTAAGTGGCATGTCCAAATGTGGATTTATATTTATTTTATAAACTTATGCGTAAAAAAGAGACAGTAGGTATTAAAAATTGTGTACCTGTATATGGATGAAAAGTGGAGTTGGTTTTGTCAAATATATACAGATAAGTCCAAAAAAGAAAAAACAGGAAGAGAAATTTGGAATCAGTATATCTAAAAGAATTTCTGATTTTGTAGCTATCATGAGAGCCGAACTACAGTAGTCGCAATTATGCTACAATAGCACTAAATTAGATCTGTGACGTACAACCCTGCAGTGTTGATAATTTTTGAAAATTAAATCTCAGGCGATATAGTGATAAAGGTATTTCCATCTGTAGAAATGACTTAATCACTTAAATTATATTTCTGATTACAGTGAGTAGAGGTGGGGTACACATAGCATTGGCTTGGATCCAAGTGCATATTGGGATAACAGGGAATGAAGTGGCAGACAAAGCAGCTTAAAAACACCATAAGAAATGGAAGGAGTCGCATAAAAATACCCTCGAGTAAACAGCAATTCAAAAGCCTAGTACAGGAAAATTAAAAGAGGAATGGCAAACTTGAACTAATGACAAAAGAGAAAAGGAGGACTTGTGGCACCTTAGACTAACCAATTTATTTGAGCATAAGCTTTCGTGAGCTACAGCTCACTTCATCGGATGCGCATCCGATGAAGTGAGCTGTAGCTCACGAAAGCTTATGCTCAAATAAATTGGTTAGTCTCTAAGGTGCCACAAGTCCTCCTTTTCTTTCTGTGAATACAGACTAACACGGCTGCTACTCTAAAAGAGAAAAGGGGTTTTTTTAAATTGTGCCCTAGAATTAAGGACAATGACATACTTCAGGGCCTGGATAGGACTAATGGAGTGACTTTGTTGAGAATACTAACTGGCCATTGTGGATTAAACAAAAATCTCTCTTGAATAAATAGACACACAGATGGCCTGTGCACTCTTTAAGGTAGAAGAAACAATGGACCACCTTTTATGGGTATGTACAGGCATTGATAAAGAGAGGGAAAAGCTTTCTGAGGAATGCAGTAACCATCTGAAGGTAACAAAAGTTACATTATGGTTGTTAGTAAAAAATATCAGGGAAATGGGGTAGTACAAAAGTATTGTTACAGTACCTGAACGAGACAGAGCAGAGTGAGAGAATATGAACCACTAGGTCTCAAGGAATTATAGTTGATTGCGCCTACAGGCTATTCAGTCAAGTCTGCTTCACCATTTAAAACAAAAAGAAAAAGAAAGGGGCTGAAGGGAAAGGAGGCTGCAGTCACTCTTTGGGAGAAGGGAGGCCATCAGGGACAAGGAGGTAGTCCAGGGGGAAGAGTAAGCCCAGAGATCCTGCACTGGAGTAAGGAAGGAGTCTAGTAAAAGGATAGGAAGGGTGAAGTGGCCACAGGCAGTGGCGTAAGCTTCAGTGGTAAACCCAGAAACAGGCAAGAAGGTAGAGGCTGGGTAGGAAGGAGACCAGGGAAATAGCTACAGGGATAGGTCTGAGCCAGAGGCCACGTGCTGTGGGAATCTGGGGGGGTCAAGTGCCCCTCCAGATTGGCCTGCCAGGTGCGGGGAGGGAGAGGGGCTCTCTCTTTCGCTCCCTGTGTCTCCCCTCCGCCCCCCAGTATGTTTGGCCACTCTCCCTGGCAGCTGGACAGGGAGTGGGACGGAGCCTCTTCTGCCTGAGGGAACCTGGCTGGGAGGCAGCAGTGGCCCACTCCCTATCCAGGCTCTGCTGCTGGGGATAGAGGCCATGCATGTGGGATGGGAGAGGGCCTCCGGCTCACTCGGCCCCTGTCCCTGGCAGCCAAGCCCACTGACTCCCAGCCAGGCTCTCCGAAGCAGAAGTGGCTCTGTCCCCTCCTTGCCTGGCTGACAGGGAAAGCGGCCAAATGTGCTGTGGGGGAGGCACAGGGAGAAAAGGACAGAGCCCTTCCTCTTCCCCTCCCCCCACCCGCAGGTAACGTGGAGCGGGGAGAGCATGGCGGCCCTGGGTATGGCGCAGTGCGGGGGGTCACTGGGCAGAGGACATGTGGGGCAATCATGTGTCCTCCCCTTTAGACTATGTCCCACACAGTATGGGAAGGAACCAGTTGTTTATGGCCTGAGCAGACCTGGATTGCTGGTTGTACATCCCTGGGCTCAGGTTTCCATGCCAGCCACTGGTGTAGGGGCATAGACCCTCGAGCTGGGGCTGAACTCCATCTGGAGATGGCATTTGGACAGTGGTTCCGTTTGGCTTTGTAACCCTAGAAGAGGTGGATTAAATGGTGACCTAGCCAGAGACCAAGTTACCAGAAGAAAGATTCTCACCAAGCAAGCAGCAAGGAGGCACCTGATGCAGTGAGAGATACATTGCCAGATCTAGATGCAAGGAGACGCACCAGTAGTGAGCAGCAACTCCATTACACAGACCCTATAAGATCTCTTGAGTTGGGAACCCAAAATCAGATTCAAGGGGTTTGGAGAGGATGGGGGATATAAGATACAATTAAATATTTATGGTGGTGATTTTACATTCCAACACTTACATTTATTCTCATCCAATTCCTGCTAAGTGAGTTGGTCTCCAGATAACCCCCTCGGTTGTCCAATACCCAAGATGTCCATTTCCCCAGAAATACACTCTGTTCTGCAGAAATGGGAGTATAATAATTGTGCTGAATTACACACTGGCCTTGGGTGAGTCACAGTCTCTCTGAGAACTCAGGTTTCATCATCTGTAAAATGGGGGCCATGATGCTCACCCAGCTTTATAAAGTATTTGGCGATCTACAGAAGATAGGTGGTATATAAGTGCTATGGGTTATTATAACAGTATTACGTATTTCTGACTAGTGTATATAAACACTGTTGGCTCTAGTCTTCAAATCTATCAGCTGGTGTTTGCTCAATTACCTAAATTCAATGCCAACTTATACCCTATGCAAAAGGGAAGACAGGCAGCATTGCATTTGTTCCTGCACGTTCATTCCCTTAGGATGATGAAAGGGCATCATTCAAACGTGCATTAACTCCCTTTCACCACAAGAGTGTGTTTTACAATACAGTGTGGGGAAAATGTTAGCAATTGACTGGAAGTCTGATCGCACCTTTTCACGTAGGCCTCTGTTTTAATCGGTTTCTTTTCATTTAGGCCCTTATTCAGGAAGTATGATGGGACTACACTTAAGGTTCAAGTTAAGCACATTCTTAAATATGTTGCTGAACCAGGGTTTTAATAATTAGTGATGAGGGAGAATTCAGTATTAATATGCAGCCAGAAGTTTAAATGCTTATTCTAACTTTAATCAAACTTCCAGTCTTGTACTTCATTCCCTATTCTCCAACAAGCACTTCCTCTCTCCTCACGGGGGAACCCCCATCTTGACCCTGCCACCCTCCCTTGCCCTCCAATGGGATGCCATCATCTCTTTTGCCTTACACCTTACCTCTGCCCTTTTTGTAACCCGATCAGCTTCTCCCATCTTGAAGGATCTTTGGTGGGGTTCAGGTGGCTCTTCACCATGTCATGTGTAATTCCACCTGAAGTTCAGTGAGCATTTGACGTAACTTGGATTGCCACCTGAAATTCAAAGGATGTAAGTCTTAAAATGCAGAAATCTGTGGCCCAGGGTTGATAACAGCTGGACTCCACAAAAGATTGTAACATGAGGTGGGAATACAAGCAGTGCATTGTGTATGCAGGTGTGGGGGAACAGAGATGGTCTAGTAAGGGTGGGAGTTTATTCAGGGTCTCTGGGAGATGGCTGATTTTTGAGGATTCTCAGTAGATAGTTATTATTGATCCTATAATCACACTTAGAAGCTTCAACAGAGATTGAAGCCTGTTGTGGTAGGTGCTGTACGTAACACAGAGAAAAGACAGTCCCTGCCCCAAATAACTTACAGGCTAAATAGACAAAGGAAGCATTATTATCCCCACTTTTTAGAGGGAGAACTGAGGCACAGAAAGACTAAGGCACAGATCTTTGAAATCAGTGGGAGTTAGGTATCCCACTAATCCTTGAAGGTATTTAAGCACCTAAGTAACTCATCCAAGTTCACACAGGAAGTCCATGGCAGAGCCAGGAACCAAACCCACAGCTCTGGCCCAGTGCCTTAACCACAAGTCCATTCTTCCCCACTGAAAGGGCATAAGTGCAAGCTGGAGGCTACTGCAAAGAAAGTTGGAAACGTGGTAGAACTTATCTGAAGGGTTTTTTAATGAATCATTTCCTCAGCACTTACAGGATTTTGGCAGTGTACAAAGAGTCAAACAGGATCTTATGTTACCAGAATTAATTCACTATCTTTATAGGTAATGGGCTACCTTGGGTTTTCAAGTTCCATCTATGCTGCTCCATACAGAAAGGAAATCTAGATTAACACTTCCTCTTAGTTGCAGAAAGACTAATCACTTATTCACATCTAGAATAGATCTCTATTTCACTGAAAAACAAAAGATCAGACTATCAGCAGTTCCTGTTTTGTTGCATTGCCATAGAAACAAAAAAGGGGCATACCCCCAAACAGATCACATACATATTGTCTAGGTCTTCAGCTTTCCTTTGTTTCTCTCACTTCCTCTGTCCATTTCCCTTTTGAGATAATATCTATGTAATTTTTAAAATTAATATAACAAAGAAAAAGAGAATGTGTGAAACAAGGGAAAAGATGTTGAATCTGACTCTCCTCCAGTGTTGGGGTATTTTATCAAATTCAAGCTCCATAAGTAAATACTGGAACAAATATTTGTTTGTTCTAAAGGCGGTGATAACATACAAACCTGCCCACTGTACGTCTTTCTTTAAGAAAGTGTTTTGCTCCATTGAGGTAGTGATAATCTCTGCATTTGTTATTGTTCAGTTTTATTAAAGGGACTAGTCAAATAATTTGGGCCAAAAATAGAGAGGCTAATATACAGATGTTATGATCTTGTGTCTAGATCCTCTAAAGCATTTAGGTACCTAATTCCCATTGATTTCAATGGGAATTAGGTGCTTAAATACCTCTGAGGATCTGGGCCTTGGTCCCTGATCCTCCAAACACTTATGCATCTCCGTAGCTTTAAGCACATGAGTAGCCCAATGCTACTCATGTGCTTAAAGTTAAGCATGTGTGTATTTTCACGATGGGAACCAAGCCAGTGGGGGAAGAGTTTATCTTCAAGGATTTTGCAAACAAAGGTGAAAGTTATAGCTCTGTCCTTTTTTCATCTTCACAAAGTCTTTAATATTTTAAAGAGAACAGCAGCATTCATAACAAAAGGCCCATGCTCAAGTCAGACCAGGTTCCACGCAACCTCATGTCAATGGAACATAAAATGTCCCACAACTATTACCCACTACTACTAAACTGCCGAGACATATTAGTCATAGATGAGCATCAAAAGGCTCAAAGATTTAGTTCAGATCAATCTATAATCAGAGCTGGGCTAGGAACAAGATGAAAAATTTATGAATATTTTGACATTTCTTTTTTCTTTTTTATCAACATTTCAAATTTCATGACCACTGGTCAAAATGTTGAAGCTGTTTTCATAGTTTTGGAGGCTTATCTAACTCTCTTTCCTGCCATCTATCCAGCCCAGTTGTGATAGACTGGGATAGGACATTTGGGTTCTAGTCCAGGCCCTTACATAGGACCTCAGGCAAAGCTCTTCCTGTGTGTTTCTTCACTAATCTTTTGTTTATTTAGATTGTAAGCTTTTGGGGGGCAGGGACTGTCTCTCATTCTGTCTGTACAATATCTAGCACAATGGGGCACTGATCTCAGTTGGGGTCTCAATACATTTCTGTAATAAAATAGTAATCATCAGACAACCCTACCCACCAACAAGTCCCATGTTCAAGCTTCGTACACTCCTTGCCTCTTTTAGGGGCAGCAGGATCCTTGAAAGTCACTCCACCTATTTCCTGGTATGTCCAAGGGCAGGTAGAAGTGACAGAACCTTACCCAGAGGCAGCTCAGCCCGGAGACACAAGCCAGCAGCCACTATCATTCGTTTATAAATGTGGCACCACTCTCTGGCCTCCCCTTGATCTGTCCCCCTAGTGCTTAGTGTGTCTCTGGGAATCCCCAGAGCAGCGAAACCTCTTCCCTTTTATAACTTTTCCACAATAGCTGCTAATTTTGCAAAGAAGGAAGGGTCTGGTCTCTGCCCCTCTGAGACTCCATAAGTAATATTTGCCTGTTAGGACACAGATAATCAGCTGTTGAACTTCAGGTGTAAGCTGATCACCATAGAGGTCAAGAAAGAACCTATCCTCTTGGACAGCACTGCACCATGTACTGAGTCAGTTGGGGGATCTTGGCCTTCCTTTTGTCCCAGCCTTTGAGTGGTTAAAGAAGCCTTGGATTTCTGGTGTGGGTTGGAAGAGAAGAGCTGGCACAGATTCAGAATATTCTATTACAGAGGGGCTTTATTCACAAATATTTACCTGCTTGCCCAAAGACAGCAGAAGCAGCAGTAAAGCTCCAAGTTCAAGATCTTTGACCAAACTGTTTCTCTGTCCCCAACACACAATGGGGTCAGCTCTGGCATGTGTCTGTCTTACACCTTTTTCTAGCACCCTAAATTCACTTTGTGTTAAATGAGTCTCTACTCAGCTCAGGGCCAAGCCATCTGGGGGCTCCCTGGTCCAACAAAGGGAAGCCAATATAACCTCCTGGATTTGCAAGGCACTTCTGCCTTTTAAAAGCAAAGGTTTCAGTGCAGTACTGATAATGTAAAAACCTCACCCAAGAAGCTTTTAATGGCACTGGGTGTGGCTGCTTTAGCTTGTTTCCTTCTTATCCCATCTCAGATCTTTTACTGCAATAAATCAATTTTGCCATAATGCTCTGAATCATTTCACGCTGGTTAGTGGCAGAGGCAGGATATTGGGTGATTTAATGCTGTATGGCAAATCCTATATTCGCCTTGCACACAGACAGTACATTGAAAAGAGAACAACTTCAATGCCCAGCAGAAAGACTGTATGAGCCCCTGTTTCTTTCAATTCACAGTGAACATGCATGCTGCATAACAGACTAATAAAAGCTTTGAAATGACTCTCAGCCACCATGGAGTTTACAGTGTTAATAACAGCTAACTCCACAGAATGGGCTCAGTTGAAGGATCTGGATTCAGAGCTGAATTTTCCTGTGTCCAGTGATATTTGGATTCAGGATTCCAGTCTGGACCCATCTGAAAGCTTGATCTGAACTGCCAAGTATGGAGATGGGTGCAAATCTGAACTCTCCCAAGTTCAGGGTGGTTTGAATGCAGGGTTCTAGTTCGGGCCCCCCTGTAACTTTATGTTTGCAAACAAAGACAAACATGTTGGAAGTTGCCATTTGTAGATGCACATTACCCTCAGGTCCACTTCTGCAGGTGCAATCAGTTCAGATGTAAAAACAGTGGGTGTGCAAAATCAGAAGGAAAAGCTAAACATTTGCTTCTAAACGTTCTTACACCCTTCCAATAAAGCTTCCAAAAGTAAAATGATACATTGCTCATTTGAAATGCCTGGCTCTTTCTCAATCCTGAAGGTTTCAAATCTGCTGTCTCCTGTGCAAAGCATATATTTCAGATTATGTATAAGGTCCTAGCCAGAGCTCTAGATGCATGTATTTCCAAAATATAAATTGGATCAACTCTCCACCTGCTCATCCACTCAAATGACTTGGCTTCACTTTTCTTATGCATGTAAGTAAAATTAAGTACTATATATGTTCTGTTGAACTGTTCAAGCATGGAACATATTCAGATACTGCCTGACTATCACATACCTGCTAGTAATGTTGAGCATCGTGTCATCAGTGCAGTGCTGGTTTCCATGGCTATCCATCTATCTTTCCTGTGCCTCTCCAGCTTGTTATGAGACAAAAAATGCTCAGAGTGCTGCTTTCAAGTAAAAGAGGGCTTGCAGAACTTTATAGTTAATCTCCCACAGTTCTGTTCTAAAGGATTTGGCCACTAACATGGGCATTTAGAATCTATTTTGTACGCGACTTTGCAATTTTAATCTGTTGCTTTTCTCAGTTACTATTACTTTTTTTTTTTTTTTTACTTAACTCTTGAGTTAACATTATGGTTTACTTGTAAGCAACATATGGTTTGCTTTCTCCATTTGTGCCTTAGCATCGTTCATTCAAAAATATGCTGTAATTAAAAACAAGGCAAAGGAAAAAGACTATAACAAGGTATCCTCACAAGTCCCAACAGATACTAATTAATAAACTCAAATAGAGTATATGATTACAAATAAATACAGGAGCCTAGAATTAGCTGATGTGAACAGGCCCCCAAATTTGTTGAAGATGTGTTCCTCAGGCTTTTGGTACTACACACATCAAGCTTATCAGAAAGCTTTTGTTCTTGTCATACTGCAATCATAGAATATCAGGGTTGGAAGGGACCTCAGGAGGTCATCCAGTCCAACCCCCTGCTCAAAGCAGGACCAATCCCCGATTTTTGCCAGGGATCCCTAAATGGCCCCCTCAAGGACTGAACTCACAACCCTGGGTTTAGCAGGCCAATGCTCAAACCACAGAGCTATCCCTCCCCCCAATGTTTTGTCTGACCCAAAAGATTTCAATACTTTGGCAATGAACCATGGATTTGGCCCTGTGTAAATGGGGATTGTCACCTGTACAATAACTATAACAGGTAAGTCCTCTTCTATGTACAATCTTACCGACTGTACCCATTTAAAAGAGATTCTTCCTTTAAACTGCTTTCAAACTTAGGTCTGCATTTCACAGGAGCACTCCAATATGAATTTTAGGTCTACAACTAGCCAATATTCAGCTTAGTTGTACCATTATGTGATTTATTTTACCCCTGTGTCTTTCCAGATACAGATTCCAGAATCTAATTCCCCGCTTTCTACAGTATATGGCCCAGGACTGAAGAGTAAATTAAGGACTTTTGGTAAAATTTTTATTTGTAAAAGTGGAGACTGCATCACTTCTAACTGCAAAAGAACCTGTGTGTTTACAAGCACACACAGAGATTTTTCTCGCAGACTGAATAGCATATAGACACATACACGCAAAGAGAAAGTGAGAGAGAAGGAAGAGCTACACTGCAATTTTATAGCATTGGAGCCTGAGTCATCTTTGAGGCCTTGTCTACACTAAAGGGAAAAGTCGATCTAAGCTACACAATTTGAGTTATGGGAATAGCGTAACTCAAATCGATGTAGCTTAGATCAACTTCCTGTGGGGTCCACACTACGCGACATTGATCCTCTCCCATTGACTCACCTTACTCTTCTCAATCAGGTGGAGTACAGGAGTTGACGGGAGAGCCATTGGTGGTAAATTTAAATCGACCGCCGATGCATCAGTCGCCGCAGCGTTGATGCTCCAGTACATGTAGACAAGCCTTGGCAGAGGCCAGCTGCAGGTGTTTTGTTACAGTGCAGACATACCCTAAGGGAGAGAGGAAAATAGGATAAAACCCACTAAGTTACTAGAAAGAACTTTTCTGCATCTAAAAGTGTTATAACCGTAAGCACCAGTCCTGCAACTTCCAATGCATGGGCACCCACACACAGCCCCACTGACTTTATGGAGCAGCCACATGGCTGCAGCAGTCCATCTCCACATTGCCAGTTCCACAATCAGGGCCTTAAGGCTCAGATGGTCAAAGGTAGTTAGGCACCTAACTCACATTGATTTCAATGGCTGAGGATCTGGGCCTGATGTCCAAGAGCTGAAACTCCCCTTTCCAATGCTAAACTGTGTGAGTCATAGCCGGGGGAGTTGTGAGATACCAGACTTTAACAAGTGATTCTGCCCGGAATAGTGCTGGTGGGGGAAAATGGTCACTGATCTGCTCCCCGTGTCCATTCCAAGTCACGATTTCTGTCTTTACTGATTAAAAGTGAGTTGGTTCTAGCTCTCCTTGTGCTCTCTAACCATAGTTATTTACTAAGTTTCAATGACAAGCCTAAACTGTTACATCTTTGCAACCTCTTTTAAGGCAGAGGGCTTGCACAGGTGTCACTGAGGGCCTAGTTTGGCCTGCAGAATCTTTATTAGTGGTGGTTAGAGCTGGTCAAAAAACAAGAACAAATGTTGGCAAAAGGGTTGAAGACAGTTTTCATCCTGCCAGTTTCTGAAACAAGCTGATTTTGTTTGTCTTCTATGAAAATTTCAGCTTGTTTGATTTTTGTGCTATTTACATATTTTTCTCCTGGCACTTTAGCGTACTGCAGGCTGGGGGCACCTGGGCTGATCAGCTCTAACTCTGTTCTGCCGTCCTCTTTCCCCAAGACAACAGGTGGCTTTAGAGTGCCTATTGAACAGGCACTGCTCCTTCTACTAGCCTTCAGTGGGGCTGACCCTGCTTCCACTAGATCTGAAATTGGCCATTAACTCCATCCTGGTAGTAAATGTTTTCAAACACAAGGTGATGGACTGCCTTCAAATGTTTAGAATTCTATTGCACTAACCTGTATTACATCAGAGAGGCATGTGGCCAGAGAGCTGGACTAAGAGTCAGGAAACCTAGGGTCTAATCCCAGCTCTGTCACACTCCTGCTGTGTGAACTTTGGCAAGTATTCTCTCTGTTTTCAGTCCCACCCTTGTCGAGTCTGTTTAGATAACAAGCTCATGAGGGCAGGGACTGTCTCTTCACTGTGAGTTGGTACAGATCTAGATCTTTGTCTTTTGCAAAAGTAATATGAAAACTGTGTGACTAATTAATCTCTCTTGCATTGTGCATTTTTAAAAAATATTCTTGTCCTGAGAAATTTTACATGACTTCCACTGAAACCCGGCAGCTTTCTCTTTTCCTTTCTTTTCTACAATTCCCATTGCCAGAGTAACTAGTATTATGTACTGCTACAAGTGAAGTAATTCAAACAGAACTGCAGGATTACGAGGCGCACATGTGGAGTGCAATGCAATGTTATTTCAGCTAGTCTCTTTTCTTAATGTTGCCTATATGCGTTTTTAGAAAGGGAGAGGGCTGGTCAAAGCACAGAATAACAGAAACTAGTGCAACAGGCTTCTAGACCATATAAGGGATCCACTTTCCAATGTGGCTTCTATAAGAGTGGCACACATTACAAAATCTTCCTGTCCTCCTCCATAGCACAATGCATCACAGGTGCTGACTCCATGGGAGGAGAGCAGAACATGGCTGTCTCAGGAGCAAACGGTGGAAGCGTGAAGACTGTTTCACACAGAGATCCAAAGGAAGGACATGAAAATGAAGTCAGATACAGAAGTGGATTGGAGACTGTTCTGCTCAACATTTCATCTGGATTGCAATGAAAGTAGGATACATCAATCAATTTTTTTAAAAATGGACCTCCACGGTCTTGCTGTCTGGAGTGGCTCATGACCGTGAGTGCCAACTTCAGGTCAGAGACCCCACACTGGCTGTATGTTCGAAAAATTGGATTTCACCAACCCATCAACAAGTGTGAATGCTTAAAACACTGTAACAGTTTTACCATGGAGTCACAGTCCCCATGGGCATTCCAGTCTCTTGCCACCCGGGCAAGCCAGCCTTTGTGACAGTTGGTTGTTGTACAACAAAGAACACAAAATATTCAGTTTGTTTCCAGTCCCAAGAGAACAATCACTTGTCTCAGGTCAATTTGTACCTCAGTCTCTCGCCAAAGGCCACATTTGTAGCCAATCCTGTAATAAACTACTTCATTTGTGTGTGTGTATATTATATATAGTTTGCCTGCTTTAACCTTGTAATAACTCTCATTTCTTTTTCCTAGTTAATAAATCTTTGGTTAGTCTTTGGTTTTAAAAGGTGATACAATTGTAATACTCGGCCAGCTCTGAATGTTTTTTAGGGCTAACCCAGGTTGACCCTGGGGATCTCTGCTTCTGTTTAGTAGCTCTGTCTCCATGAGAGCCCAAACAGCAAAAGAGATGAAAAATTTTCTTGTCAGCCATTTTTATTTCCTGCTTCCGCAATTCAAGCTGATGGGACAAGCCCTTTTGCAAGAAGCCTCTTCGTGGTATAAGGGGGCAATTAGAGTCTTTGCATTGTGATATTCTACAATGGCCCATTTAGTTTTGATAGCCCTTCTTGCTGGGCAGGAGACAATCCCTCCTGACTAGGTTCACAGTTTCAGAGCAAACAATGTTTATAGTTGTAAAGCAAACACTTGAATATTTACCTTATAGCAGGTGATAAAGATATTATAAGTGAGAGATATTATAAGTTGCATGCAGCAACTTGCAAGCATTTCATAGTCTAACCACATTGTTATAAGTTCAATACCCATCTTAACCATACCAATGGACTGCTTTCCAGCAATGAAGTTGTCAGTGCTTGGCTGAGACCTAAAGCCTTGGCAAGAGCTGACACATGTCACATCCACCTCACTGCTACAAATCCTCACAGCTCCATTGACGTCATTCAAGCTGAGTATCTGGCTCAATAAGTGGAAAGAGTCACTACTAAGCTTCAGGGTAAATTCTGCCCTATCATATGGACAATGACACCTGCTATGCAATGAACCAGTGTGAGATCCACTGTGTGGTAGCAGAGGCAGAACATAAAGAGCCCATGGAAAGAGTAACATACACACTGGGCATCATGGAGCCAACCCTTCACCAAACGGATAGAACTGGCTGCAGGAAGAGAAGTAGAAATTGATGGTGCATCAACAACTTCACAGATCCACCAGCTAAGCCCCATCACACAGGGAGACTGCAGCAGTTGCACAGACTACTTGAACCCCTGAGGTGGAAGTAGCCATGTGGAGAGGATCCTTTACTGTTCCGTAGCCTGGCATGGATGCAGTATCTGGGTTTGGATTAGTACATGTCCTGATTGACTGATGCCTTGCCCAGAGCTATCAATCAATATATTAACCCCTTGGCTCTGCACATGTTGGCTGGCAAAATCTCTTTTTTGTGTTACTATGCTTGTGAAAAGCTTGTCTTAATTATCCCTTCTTTAAGGGGAAAAAAGGGTTTAAGTACTACTGTTTGTTTGTTTGTTTTTGATGTCGTCATACATGTATGTGGTGCTATAGGAAAAAGCGAGAGCAGACCCCCAGCCACCATGGAGCTTAACACATATCAGACAAATACAAACGGACAATGGGAAGGATGGGGGAGCATTAGAGAGGGGAACCACATTTGAAGGCAAAGAAGAAGTGACCTTAAAGGAGGGATAGGAACGAGATGGCTTAGCACAGGGGAAAGAGGGGTTGTTCCATGCATAAGCTCGGGGAGTGTGAAAGAAGGCCTGAAGTCAGGCATGGGAGAAGGAGACTAAGGTCCCAATCCTGCAGTCATATCCGCTGTCATAGCCCCCTGTACCTGTATGGAGCCCCATTGGCATAGAGGTCTACACTAGGGGATTTGATCATGATGTCAGTGCCTACAGTGCAGTCAGGAGAAAGAGGACTGAGGAGAATGTAGAGTGGGGGTTATACGAGCTGAGGTGTGGGAGGGGGAAGAGCTGTGTGTTGAGCCTTAGAAGTGAGGGCAAGAGCTTGATGCGTGGAGTGACGTGGAGTGGCTTCCCTCAGAGCAGGAGAGCGAGGGACCACTACACTCCCCCTGGTGGGCAGAGCTAAATCCACCCTGCCCCGCTCACTGGAAGGCCCAGGGCGGGACAGGAAGTATAAAAGGAGAGCCCCAGAGCTCAGTTGGAGCTGGAGCGAGCAGACGGCTTTCCCAGGGAGCTGGGATCTCAACAAGATCCCAGACTAGGCCCTGACTGGAGCTGCAGCCGAAGGAGACAGATGAGTGCCTCGAGGAGCTGCCAGGACGGCCATCAGACGAATGCCCCAAGGAGCTGTGAGGACGACTGGTGGCTGAGTACCCCGATGAGACAGAGAACCTTTGGACTACAAAGCCGTACATCCAGACTGCAGTAGGAAGTAGCCCAGTGAAAACAGACTCCAGTCTGGTTCTGTTGCTGGAGTGTGAGTCAGTGTGTTGCACTGGGATTCCCTGACCCAGTGGTGAAACTCTCCTGGGCTGGGACCAGGTGGAGTTGGAAGGGCCCGGATCCCCCTACCCCTACTACCCTAACCCTGGGGTGGCAGCCTCCCCTCCTTTAGGCCCAGAGGCCTGCATCTGTCGGCAGTCCACTGGAGTAAGGACGCCCGACTGTTTGGTACCCTGCCCTGCTTGAGGTTCTGGGCCCCTAGACTCCTTTGCTACCCTGCCCTGATTGCAGGCCTTGGCTGTTTGGTATCCTCCCTCCCCGCACCTGAAGGTGCTGGCCTATAGATTGTTTGTGCTCTGCCCCATCCAGGGGGAGAGAGCACCCTTATAGACTGTTAAGTACCGTTGGCCCTAGCCGGACATGCTGGGCTATAGACTATTTGTGGCTCTGTCCCACCCAGAGGGCTGAAGTTTCCCCTACAAACTGTGGCTTGCTATCTGCCTGCGCCCAGGCAGGTTTTAGTTCCCACTCGAGAG